TTGCTTTAAATGTAATACGACTGTCAGTTTGACTGGGATGATTGATCGTGAGTGGCTTTTTACAGATTTTGATTTCAATAGAGATCTCAGCCTATGGTATGCGTGTGAATAACTGACGAAATTACAGTTTAAATAGATTCTATGGAATAAAAGTCAGAATAAATGTCTAAATGAGCATTGTTAGCATTCTTGTTTCATGAAGGGTACTTTCCACAACTGTCATGCATTGTCAGCTCCGCTTTCCACTTTAGAAAACATTTACCAGAGAAATGGAGTTTAATTATTAAAATTATATAGATATGCCTTTGAATTAAAGCAGGATTATTTAGTTCACAATGAACTGAAGCATACCGACAAAATAAATAAATTCAACGCCCAAACATTTGTTGTCCAAAGGCCATTAGCCTAGCATGCTAACAGCCGTTTAGCCATAAATGCTAATCTTTATTAGCAATTCTCATTCTTTATTTATCTGGTATAACAGTTCTTTTCAACAGGAATGAACATGAAACCGGGATACAAAAAAAACCCAGATCAAAACCAAAAAAACAATAAAAATATATTTCCGGTTCTGATTAGCTCACCACTTTTCTTTTCGCTTCGTCGGAAAGTCCCGAAGATACCTCGTCTAACTACATGACGTCATTTCCTGTTTCCGGATTCTTTTTTAAAAAATACCAGAATTTTTTTTTTAATTCAACCTTTATTTATACAGGTTAATCCCATTGAGCCACGTGGGCTCGTTTACAAGAGAGACCTGATTTCTTTAAAGAGTGATGACAACAGTGGACAATAACGACAATATACAATCATAAAAAAGGCGTATAATTTTTTTTAAAAATGAAAATAAAGAAAGAGTAGTTATTAAAAGTCAGCTACTGTCCCAGAGAGGTTTCATTTTTTTAAAATTAGCATATTAAAGGACGAGTTTCTATTAGATTATTAAAAATCTGTGCTGTACAACCAAACCTTTATTTGTAGAGTCATACAGATTTTAATTAAAACTACCTAAAGGCAGCTGCGTGTATCGGTAGGATTTTTTTTTTTTTAAGAAATTGTTAGTCGGTACAAACACTAACATTAAAACAAACATTACAAAAGCTTATTGAGATAAATTAGAACTTACAGTTCACGTTGCAAAAGTTCAATGGAATAAAAATAATACAATTTAATAACATCCAATGGAAGAAATGTCAGCAAAATGCTCTAAATGTAAGAACAGGCTGTCTAAATGACTAAAGTTAAATTAACAAGAACTGTCACAGGACAAGGTACTTACATCCAGGCGATGTTGAAGACAGGACAGAGAGTCAGCTGTCTGGGGTGGTGTTTCACTTCAACTGAGCCACTTCTCAGATGAGTCATCGAGGTCATATTAGTTCAGTCATAGGTTAATTCCCACCATAGGAATTTCCTGTCATCTGTCCTTTTCATGTTCATTATGGAACAAATCTGCAGATCAGCTGAAATAAAATTAAACTGTGTAATATTCAACAACAAAAAGATGTGTTTTTTCTTTTGTTTTCGGTTGCTCTCTTCTTCAGGGGTCGCCACAGCGAAGTAATTCACACGAAGACTTGGCAATTGTTTTATGCTGAATGCCCTTCTTGACACAACCAGACCACAGCTCTCTGTGTCGAGCAGAGAGCTGCTATCTAGGGCACCTGGGGGAGGAGATGGTGGGGGTTAAGGGCCTTGATCAAGGGCCCAGAGTGGATGAAATGAGGGTCTGAGGCAGGTGTGGGTGCTTCACATTTTCCACCCACATTTTCATGTTGTATTGTATAAAGTGTATAATATATTCCTGTTACGGAATATATTTTACTTAAACAGTTAAATGTAAAATAAACACGAGTGCATATTTGTTATGAAGTTTTCAGTTGCTCATCTCAAGTAAACAAAATATGAAACTGTAATAAAACCATAAATTAATCTGAAAATATAGAAGCATATTTCCAAGAGTTAGGTCCTCTGGATTGATTCTTCTTTGCTGAAACATTTTGTTTTTTATTGAAAAGACTTCTTCAGTCTGAGGAGTTACAACAAACAGTCTTAGTATCTTAGTGTGTCTTAATGAATATCTTAGATCCTTACATACAGTTTCTTTTTACACTTTTATATTTTTGCTATTGTTGGGTATAACTGGGACCCTGTGTACAGAATTTCATTCCACCTCATGTACCACATGTGATGGCGATGACAATAAACCTACTTGAACTTGAATTTATAAGCAGCACCTTCTCATATTGGATCAACCGTCTGCTGGTGACAGCCATAACAGGAGGGTTAAAAGTGACTAAATTAAATAAATAAATGCATCATGAAATACATAAATGTGAATGTCCAATGAAATAAATAAATAAATGTACCATTAAATAATTCAATGTATCATTTACTTATTTAATACATCATTAAATCAGAATAAGTTTTACTATCATTGTACCGAGATTAGGGGCTGAATAGACTAGTCGACTAGTCAATTCTAATGACATCTCATGAGTTTTTATATTTCACGCCGACTAGTCACCCCTGCCCCACCCCCTTCCCCCCGCTGTTCCCAACCCTATTCCACCCAATCCACATGGTGGATTAAATTATGTCAGCAAGCACATTTATGAACACGTTACATATGCATTTGACGACGAGGCGGTCCATGAAGAACTAACAGATAGTCCATTGCCCTGACAAAATGATGGTCAACCGGCACAGTTCTGATAAGCCTCCACAGAAGTTCAGGGGGTTGGTGTGTGTGTATGCGTGTGTGTGTGTGTGGTGGTGGTGGTGGGGGGGCGGGTTCTAAAAGACAAAGCTTTTCCATAGTTTGCACATTTCCCAGGAGAAATTGATATGTCGGCTTGTTTTCAAGGCCAACCGGGGGACTCGGTTTCAGATAAGCCACAATTGTTGATTTTTTTCAGGCAGACTGTTTTTTTTTTTTTGTCAGCCTTGAGTCCTGTTTGTACTTTCAAGATCCGAAATGGCCAGATTAGAGTGCATTCTACTGGCCCGTGCTTACGAGCCACTCCAAGGTTGTTTCATGCTGGCGAGTCCCAAAACTGCAAGTGGCCTGCGATTCTCACAAATCATTTCCATCTTACGGTTTAGCTCATAAATCAGCTGATTTTGAGTCCTCAAAGCACGAACAAAACCTTCACAAGCAGGCAGCCTGACGACGGCCAACTTAGCTGCTGCTGTCTTGTATGTTGATAGACCAAGAACCAGCCGATTCCAAAAAGCAGGAAACCTGAATTAGATTCGTCTTTGGCGTCCACCTGAGATTTTTAGCAGAACATGAGGGCTCTCCAGGACCCTGTCGCTTTGTTGAAAAGATTTTGTCATTTGCGTCGGAAGTCCAATTGGTCATTTCCATAATAGTAGTTTTCATTCCGGAAGATGTGTAAAATAGGAGCTCCGATACACAGAGAGCAAAAAGCAGGAGAACAGGAGAGGGGAGAGAATGCGTCCGTCTCGTACAAGTGCGGCGGAACCCCCCCCCCCCAAATATACCAATAATAAGTTATGAAATGCACAATTAAATAATTAAAGGCCCCATTAAATAAATAAATGTGCCTTTTCAATAATGACATTAAATATTCAAATGTCATTTTCAAGAAAGTATTCATTTAAAAATATGTTTACGTAATTATTTAACTCTTTTTCTTTTTTTCATTATGTATGGGGCGTGAAATGTGACAAAATTAAATAAATACATAGACTGTATCTAATTATTCAATACATCGTTAAATCATTAAATACTAAATGTCATTAAAGGTATATTTATTGCATGGGGCATTTAATTATAATTGTGCATTTCATAATTTATTGATATATTTAATGATTTAAGGGAAGGGAAGTCTGGGATTGTCATCAATGTATGTTCCCATACAATGGAGAAATTAGTTCTCTGCATTTAACCCTTCACACAAGATGCACCCAGGTGGTACGGAGGGGGGACTGTGGCAAAATTAAATAAATGTATAGTAATTAAATGTATCATTTAATTATTCAATACATCAATACATCAAATATTTAATATCATTATTTAAAAGGTTCATTTATTTCATGAGACATTTAATTGTGTATTTTATAATGTAATTTATATTTAATGATGTATTGAATAATTAAATGATACATTTAATTACTGTGTATCTATTTAATTTAGTCACATTCCACACACTCTATATTGACACAGTCCATACTGGAGAGCCTATAGTACTTCTTGCAAGTTAGCGATCACTTGGGGGTTGGTCATGGATGGAAAGTGCAGAAAAACTCCAGTAATGTCAATAAATTTCTCTAACTTCTCTTCCACAAATTGTGGGTGAGCAACTCCAGCGTATATATCCCAAGCTTGGTGTAAAACATCTATAAATGGTTCATGAGAGTTCATTCTGAATGAAGAGATCTGTCATGTTTGAACAGACATCAGACCAAAGCAATGGATTTCACAGGATCAGTGTTAGTTGTGCAGATCACATCGAACATTTTGGAGAAAAGATTTTTAAATGTGACAGAAATCCACTTAGCTTCAGCCTAGCCTTCAGCTCGGCTCTTAAATTCAAACCTCTCCCCAATGTTCCAAACTTTTTTAATGCTCTGAGTGATTTTCAGCTCCACAGAACTCAGGGTGGGGTGTTTTTTCAAGAGCATCCTGTGCTCCAGCATCAACATGTGGCACGGAAGCTGCACAGCTGGAAAAAAGAAAAGCTTTGCAGAGGGTGGTAAAGGCTGCACAGAGGACTGTTGGAGTCAGCCTCACCACCATCACAGACATTTACACCTCCAGATGCAGGAAGAGGGCCACCTGCATCATGAAGGACCCCACTCACCCAGCACACACACTTTTTTGCCCCGCTCTCCTCAGGCAGGAGGTTAAGGAACTTTAAGTGTAGAACCACTAGAATGAGGAACAGCTTCTACCCTGGAGCTGTAACTCATAAAAACCCAACCAGAAAAATCACTGTAATGCCACTTTAATTGGACATTTGACACCTTATCTATGCTGCTGATTATCTATGCTGCTGATTATCTATGCTGCTGATTTGTTGCACTGATTTGTTATACTGTTTTTTTATCGCCTTGACATAAATCAATCATTTAAAATGTTCTAAATTTCATAAACAAAGTGTTTAAAATAGTTTTCTTTATTCCAGTGGCAATGCCACACATCACAAAAACACAAAACAATAATGTACTTGGTGTATTTAAAAGTTTATTAAACAGAATCTCCTTTAAAATGATTACATTGAAGTTCATATAAATCATGCATAAACAGGTAACAAAACGTCTGTTAGCTTCCAAACTGTTCTGTAAATAGAAAATAAATGTCATTATATGGAACAAACCGTACATACAAAGTGTCATGCATCCTAGGATAAATAATAAACTAAGAAGTGTGTTTCATGGTGTGTGAGAGCAGAAAATCCCCCGAACTGCTGGAGGGAACTCGTGCTTTTCAGTGGAGACGCTGTGAATGTCTTTAACTGTAGTTAACAGTTTATAAATGAAGGAGAAACGTTCTCACCAGAAATTCAGAGCTTACTATCCAAATCAAATATAAAGCATACTGCAGGAAGATAATAAACAAGCAGAATGAACAGATTATGGTTAAACTTGTCAGGAAAAAACATCCAGACATCTGCTCCTGGGAGTGTTTAACGTTAGAATAAATAAATACTATATCTGCAGTTAGTGTTGCTTTTCTGAGAGTCACATCAAGGGGTCCTTGTTTCCACTGATGAGACTTTAAATTTAATAGAACAAACAAGGATTATTTGTCAGTGAAGACAGTTGAAATAGAATTTCAATTTAATTCAACTCATTTACCAAATACAGTAATAATATTATGAAAGTCTGCACCTAGAGGACATTCTAATCACATAATAACATTTCTTTTTTTATATATATATAAATTCAGCTTTAAAAGTGACAGCTCTTTCAAGATCCCGTTAATCTGGATTTGTTTGCTTGGATTTGATGACAAGATTCAACGCCGATTGATAAATTATATTCAGTGAGGTTTGTAATTTGTTTGGATGGCTTAGGGTTCGGAGATGGAAGGTTTCATTTTGTTCGTAGAAACATTTTAACGTAACAGAAAGAGGTGCGGCGTACACGCGTTTCATTACCGTGTAACGACTAAAAACAACTTGACCTTCCTCCGCGGACTCAAGGAAAAGTGAGACCGTTTCGCCAACGATGAACTAAAACTGAGGTCGGGTTGTCTTTCTGAGAGGGTAAAAACAATAAAACCGCTAAATAAAAACAAAACATCCAATAAAGAAATAATTAGGAATGTTTAAAACCAATATAAAAAAGCACAAGAAAAGGGAGTGAAAGGAATAATTGTATATATTTTATGTTACGGAGCAGGGAACAGTACATTTGCAGGCCCAGATGGCAGCTAGAGGGCATCATTTCCTGAAGAACAGGTTGAAGGCTCTGACAGTTCAACAGAAACCTACCATAAATACTGCTTCTGAGATGTTCCTGCTCCCGAAATAAAAAGCTAACTGACATTGTACAACTACGTGTGATTTAAAAAAAAAAAAAACTAACCCAGATGATCTTCCTGCACAAGGTGGAGGAATTATTTCAAATAAAAACAGGACTCAGAGTTGGACTTCATTAAAGCGACTGTGTTAGTTTACTGAAAACATCCTGCTGTCTGCCAATTTCCTCTCTTGTGTAAAATACGAATAAAATCTGTGCTCACGTTAAAACTTCTTTATATACATGTGGAGGTACTTGACTTTGATCCATCGGCTCAGATGTTCCGGTTTTCTAACACTTTAAATACCTTTTTTTTTTTTATTTACGAGCTTCTATAATTGACGGGTTGCAGAGTCTCTGGTTCTGTTCTTGGTCAGAACGAGGTACCACGTGTCATGCATCGAGTTTTATATGCAACTAATGTAGTGTTCATCTTCAAAAATATTTGAGTCTGTGCTCGTCACCATCGAAGTTTTTCAAATGACTTTTAATCCCAGCTGTGATCATGAACAACAAAAATCACAGGTTACTGATGTTTAGAGGTAGTAGAACTAGACGTGACTATTCCTGCTGTAATTTTATTTTAAAAGCTCTTTTTGTGACATTCAGATTATCGTAACGGAAATTAAAAAATACTTTTCTCGACTTGACTTTGATAAAAAGGTTATAAGATTTAGTAAAAATCTGCTCTCTGAATGTACCTGTGATATTCAGACAAAACAGGTGATGGTCGGGAAGTGAAAAGACCAGAGAAACTGAAAATATCATAATTTTTCTGGTTTTAAAGCATAAACCAAGAAAACCAGCAGCTTACCACCTCCTGAAAGTCTTTCTGTCATCCATCAAGGAGTGAGTCATGTCAGATATCCATCACTCAACAGAAGCAGTTTCTTTGTTGCTCTGAACCACCTTTGAGTCCAAAAATCCTCCAGAATTCATGTTATGAAACTGGACGTTTACCCACACTTTGAGCAGTGCTAACCTGCGTCTATAGCCAGGTGAGAAGGCTGTCTCTGTCCATGTGCGGTCCCGAGAGCACCGTCTCCATGTCCATCAGAAGGTCCGAGTTCAGCCCGTCGGGGATGCAGGGCATCAGCTCCTCGCCTTCGGTTATCGGCATCACGGACATGGACTCCTGCATGCTCACTGACGGGGGCTCACTGGAGTCTCCTGAACAATCAGATTCACAGAACAATCTTTCACACACAAAACAAAGTTTGGGTTTTTCCACTCTATGGTAAATAAAGACATCCACTTAAAAACGGTAACATTACAGGAAAACAAGTGAAATAAAATCTTCAAAATGCTGGTTTTAGTTGATGAAAGGTTTCCTTTATTATTACCGGTATCCATATGATCCACGGAGCTCAACATGTGGTCTGACGTGCGTGGGAGGCTGCTGACGCTCAGACCGCTGTCTGTGCTCTCGTTACGAGAATGAGCCCTGTCGGAGAAAACAAACCTTCCTCTGTGTTAGGAGAAACATTATTTTTTAATAAACAAAACAACAACAACACACCTGTATTGTTTTATAACCAGTCTAGAAAGAAAACAAGTCTTACTGCAGACTAAACAACTAGTTACATTTGTTCTGTGGGTTAGCTCATGGAGAGATGTTGTAATTCATTGATATAACTCAACAAATCTAGAGAAATTGCATTTCCAGGGACAATCAAGTGTGAATGCTTATTGCTGAAGAACTTGTTGAAAAACAGCTAAAATTTGCTAAAAACATGCTGAAACTGAAGAACTAAGTTAGCAGAAGAAAGCAGAAAGAACATGTTTGCTGCGGAAATTAGCAAAAAAAAAAATTGGCTAAAAAAAGAGTTGAAATTAGGAGAAAAAAAGAAAGAAGGCAGAAAGAAGCTTAAACTACCAGAAAGAAGCAGAAGGAACAGAAATCAGCTTTAAAAAATACCTGAAAAGGCTAAAATTAGCATAAAAAAGCTCAATAGTAGCTGAAATAGCAGAAAAAGCCGAAACTAGTGAGAACAGTATCTGTACTGAAATTAGCATAAAGAATTTAATTAACCTGAATGGTAGCAGAAATTACCATGAAAATCTTGAATTTATCTGAAAACAGCTCAAATTATCTAAAAAAAAAAATAGCTGAAAGCTTAAATTAGCATAACGAAGCAGAAAGAACACGTTTGCCCAATTATGCTGAAAGAAGCAGAAATTAGCACAATCAATTGAAATTATCAAAAAAAGCTGAAATTAGCTAAATACAGCTGAAAAGTAGCCAAAAAAGGTAGAAAGAAGCTTAAATTATCAGAAGGAAGTGGAAAGTACATTTCAACGGAATTAGGCTGAAAAAAGTCAAAATGAGTGTAAAAGCTATGGCGTTAGCTGAAAAAGCTAAAATGAGCATAAACAGCTAAATAGTAGCTGAAATAGCAGAGAAAGCTGAAACTGGCAGAAATAAGCTGAATGGAGCAAAATAAGCTGAAATTAGCAGAAATTATCTAAAAGAAGCACAAAACAGCTGGAAAAAAGTTTAAATCTGCACAAGCAAGCTGAAAGAAGCTGAAGCAGAACAAAATGTGAAAGGAGCGGTAAAAGGTTGTAAACATCTAAAGATGTGAAGGATAGAAAATGAGCTCATTTAATTTTCTATGAGGGAAAAAATGTCAGAAAAGGCTAAATATTTAAAAAAGCTAAAGTTGCACCAATACCAAAAATCCAAGCACCTTTCTCCTGAACGATCTGAACGTTTTGATGTATGTGATTTGTTGAAATAGCACAAAAAATTGTGGAACGAGAAAGATGCAGAAAAATGTACGGGAGAAAAATGGATCTCAATCGTGTGAATGCTTCATAAACATTCACACAACAAGATCCCAACCGTGATTCTACCAGCACTGTGTTTTACAGAAGGAATAAATACTGCCTTTTCTCAGACGCTCCTCTGGCTCATCCATGAGATCTTTATCAGACAGGGGAGCGGCTGCCATCATGTTTTTAGCTGAGCAGAGGTGGTCTACCTGCAGCGCTGATATCTAAATTATTATTATTATTCAGGGTTCTGGGTTCAAGATGAGCTCATGAACGTTAGTCCAGATGAGAGAGTTTGGATTGCAGAGCTCACCAACTCATACAAAAATTATTCTGGGGGTCATTTCTTAGTGTTCATCAATATGACCTTGAACTATTCTGTAGAATATCTCCACAAGTTAAGAGTTTGTGTTAGTAACACTCACCCATTAAGTGTCGGTTCTTGGTTCAGGACTCTGATTCTGACGTCCACTGATGGGACGAGCATTTGCGCGCTTCTGTCATGGTCCATGGCCCCGGACATCTGACTCCTTCCTGTTGCCTCCTTTCACATGAACAAACACAAACACATTGAACTGCAGGTAAAACTCAGGCTGAGTTTACATGAAGCAAGCAGGACGAGGTTTTGGACAACACCTTTAAAGTTCTGGTCTTTTGAAGCGGGGGCTCTGTGTTTACAGACAATAAACATCTTACCTGTTGCAGATGGCTCTTTGAAGAGGAGAAATGGTGCATTTTGACTGGACTGATGAGGTTACAGTTTGTTTGAGTGGAGGGAAGGACAAAGTGAACTGCTGTCATCTTCAAACAAACTTACACTCAAAAACTTTAAAGTGGTATCTTCTAGTTTTATCAACCTTTAAATCACTGCAGTGTTTCCCCTAAATGCGCTTGTCGGAGATGGGAGGTAGCAGTAGGGGAGGGCTGTTACTAATGCCGGTGACTTCATCACAAGTCGGCGGGGGAGAGGGCAGACTCCAGAAACCATCTTAGCACCATCAAACTGGTTGGTCCAGTATGTGAAGGTGTTATTTATAAGACTGAGTTTGTTGTGGCGACTCGGACTGATGAAGTCTTTGGATGGAAGATGAAAAGTTTCAACAAAAAGAAACTGTCCAGAGGACCTGACTTAACTTTGCTGGATTTTTCTACGTGGATGGAGCATAGGGCTGGACAATAATTTGATAGATATAGATCACGATATACTTTTATTCAATACCGGTTATATGAGTTTTAGACACATTTTTGATGTTTACACGATTACAGCATTTCACTGACACATTTCCTTTTCTGTTCAAGTTGAAGCGGCCGCTTCAGTTTCAACCCGGTCAGAAGGTGCGACACAACTACGTAAGTGCGTGGTGATGTAGATGTTACACAGACCTTGAGTCCAGAAGGCGTTAGCGGTAGCAGGCTAGGCTAATCTCCAACGCGCGGTAAGTTTTCGCTTCAAAATGAGTTCCCATGACCGTCAGAATGTGACTGAACAAGATTTCAAAAGCGAAGAGAAAGCAGATGACATAATTGATAAGAGAGGAAAGACTAATTCAGCAGTGTGGAAGTGGTTCGGCTATCTAAGATCTAATAAACTGCAGGTTTCGTGTGCTGCAAAATGTGTCGAAGAGTCGTTCCATCTAGCGGTGGGAACACATCTAACTCGTTTCATCTGAAGAGTTTCCACTCGATAGAATACGCAGAGTCACAAGATGAAGCACAATAAAGTTTGAGCCAACGTGTCCCTGAAACAACACCCCCAGCTGTATCAAAAGAGAAACACAGACGGGTGCTGCAAGTGCTGTTAGGTTATGTTGTTGTTTAAAGTTAAAACTATTAATAATGACAAAGTTGAGAGTTTTCCGTTTATTTGACGGTGATTTCAAATTTCTTTGAAGGCTAACTACAAATAAAAAGTGAACATTAATTTATTCATAAAGTTTTTCTGTTTTTTATTGTTTATATCGATATTGGAATTATATCGTTATCGACGGAAATTAAGAAATATATCGTGGTAAAAGTTTTGGCCATATCGTCCAGCCCTAATGCAGCATGAACGTTGATACATTACTAATGCTACGTCGAAGCCTCTTATTCTGTGGCTACAATCGCCGCTCCTCATCTGGTAGTAGTAGGAACTTTCGGCGGTGGGGACGTGAAAGTTTGGTAAGCAGGGTGCTCAGTTCTGTTGACAGGGTGGGGCGCCCTCCTTGGATAATGGTAGGGGAAACATTGCACTGTTAGAGAATCCTATGGTTACTTGCAAAAGAAAATAGCAGCAGAAGCAGCTAGCTGCAGCGCTTCCAGCAGGACTATCATGTTTCTGCTGAATTGTCATGAACCACTCCGAGTCCTCGGAGAGAAAAGTTGCTGTAAAATGGCAGCAGTCCATTTTGGTCTCAGTTTATCAACACGGTCACATTAAACTCTGTTGCTCCAAACAGGTGGTTCAAAGAGCCATCTACAACAAGTAAGATACTGTTTGTCATGCTTCCAGAGAACCTCGCTTGCTAAAATCTGAACTACTGCTTTAAGGGCCAGTTCCTTTGATCTCTGACCTGGGCTGTGATCTGAGGAGGCATGCCTTGCTTGAGTCGGAGTCTTTCCTTCTCCTGCCTTTGCTGCAAGCCAAGAATGCCAGGGTTCATCTTCTGAGCTAAAACATAAAATTCATACAAAAATATACATCTTTAAACGCTTCCATCAGGGGAAACAAATCAACAACTGCAGGAAAACATTTGAAAACGTTGCCATCTTATTGTTGTGGTTGCCAAGGAGGCAACTTGTTAGAGGACATTTAGAATAAAAGATGGTTTCTCACTGACAAAAGAAGAACTGTCAATTCAGGAGACACAAATTTGATATAGTGTGCTACCTAGCCGCGGGTCGACCCACGTGGTGATCTTATTTATGTGATCGATGTAGTACACCTCTCCATCTGCAGTCGCAGCCTGCTCCCAGCCTTCAGGCAGCGGACCTGAACAGCAGTGAAAATACACAGTGAGAAGGCCAATGGTAGATGGAGAGAATGGGGTTTAAAAAAATGTAGCTTGTAGTCCATATCTTTACGTGCTCGTGCAGCTAATGATGTGCAGAGTAATCCATAAACGGAGTGAAGACTTGTGGGTAAAAAGCTTTTTCACATCAAGGCTCTGTTCAGCCAGTCTACACGAAATATGTTACAACTGTGAGACACATCATCTTCTAAAGTGTAAAAATTAAAGATACATTGTGTCTTTAGAGTACAACATTACCAGAATAAAAGGTGTGATGTGCAGTAATTTATAAAAATAAAAGATTTAATTTAAAAACCGTTCTGTTCCCCTCCGAGTCTTTTAAAGAGCTTGTATTCTTCTAAAACCTTAAAGCAAACCTTTGGACTTATTCCCATTAGGATGAGGCCAACAGACACAAAGTTTTACCTTCATGTTTTGGTTTTTTTCACAGCTGATGCACAGTTTGACAGGTTTAAAATGAAAAAACAAAACTCGGCCTTTATTTATTTTTCTCACCTCATGAGTTCCTTTCTGCACCCGTTTTCAAAATCTTTGCTGCAAAAAGAACAACCTTTGAAGCTACAAGCTAAAATATGTTGTGTGGTTTGTTTCCATCTTTGCCGTTTGTTTTGTTGCTGGAAACGTTTGTCTTAAAGCTCCTACAGTACATTTTAAACCCAAATAAGGTTGAAAACGGACAGAAATCTGTGCATCTCCAGCTGAATGGCACCTGAGAGCGTTTTAAACCATTAAAGGGTCAAGATGAAAAGTTTGCCACAATCTACGGACGAGGCATTTAGATGGTTTTGAATTTTGTTTAATAACTCATCCAACAGCTCCTGACATCAATGATTTCAGCTTTGTGAGCTGCAGTTTTGTCTGTTTTTATGTTTTACTTAAACAAATGTAAACATTTTCAGATTAAACACTAATATTACACCAAAGAGAAAAAAGTGTGTGTTGACCAGGTGGATGGTGAATTCATGAATTAAAAAAAAACACATAAAAGTTCAACAAACTGCTACAAACTAATAAATTATCAAATTGCATTGTTTTTTTTTTTCTGTTTTGGGTGGAGAAGAAAGTTAATGTAAAGCTTCTTAAGTTTAACGTTTAGATATAAAAAGTTTATATATATATTTTTATATATATACATATAAACATACACAAACATACAAACACACACACACAGTAGTCCCTTGATACTTCGCAGTTCGTTTATCGCTGGCTCGCTCTATCGCAGTTTTTAAAAATAAGATTGGACTAGACACACAATTGCCAGATTGATGGATGAGTGCCACGATCAGCGTTAAATTTTTATTTAAAATAAATTATTTAAAATTATTTAGCACCTGCTGCACATTTGTGCAGCCCATACTGCAGGATAAGCTTCCTGCTGCAGCTAATCAGCTGTTCTCAGTGCAGAGTGGAGAAGTGGGCGTGGCCAATAACACTTGCAGGCGGCTGAGGGCAGCAGAGGCTGAGAGAGGGAAATCACGACATTCTGTGTTTTTTTAGAGCATTTAGAAACATTGTTTAGAATACTGCAAGAGTGTGGGAAGGG